CCACCCAGCCAGGAGGAGGAAGCCAAGCAGGGAGTCAGGGAAGTCTGGGATGCCACTGCAGTGCAGTGCAAAAATGTGCTGAAGATCCGAAGACGGAAGATGAACCACCACAAATACCGCAAACTGGTTAAGAGGACACGATTTCAGCGGCGTAAAGTCCGGGAAGGACGGCTGAAAAAGAAGCAGGTGAATATGGGCTCTCCCTTGGACCTTGATTAGCAGTGGTTGAGAGTGCTTGGCTTTGCCGAGAATGAGTTGGTTGCCCCCCTTCTGCCCTTGCAGATCAAGTTTGAGAACGATTTGAAGCGCATCTGGCTGAAGGCAGGCCTGAAGGAAGCTCCTGAGAGCTGGCAGACCCCGAAGATCTACATGAAGAACAAATGAGTCTGGAGTCCCATCCCTCTTGTCTCTCTTGCTGCTGACTCATTATAATAAACGTTGGAAAAACTCAGTTATTCTGAGCTGGCCTAGATCTTTGGTCTGGTGTGAGCTCTCTTGAGGTAGAAACAGACTTCCATCATAGGAACCCAGAGCCCAAGGTGCATAATGAATGGTTGCCTATATCCCAACTGGTCCTTGACCTCCAGTCTGATATGTGCCTCCTGAAATGACAGCCTCATGTAGAGACTGTGCTGTGGGATCACTAAACAGCTCCAGGGAGGTGGGCTTCAATGTGAACACTGACCGTAGAATGACCTGGGTGGCATTGGAGCTGAGGGGTACCTGGACTAGGGGGGCTTGTGATTAGATTATGAGGTAAGGGATGGTTTGAGAGGGCAAGGTAGGCCAGGTTTCCCAAAAGATACATATGGTCCCCTATAGGTAATGAGCCCTTTAAATTGCCCTGCTAGTTGGGATGGTATCATCTGGCCATAGGGATGGTATTTGCATGGGTGCCAGCTTTCCCAGATGCCCCAGCCTCTTCTTGGCTCCTCAGCCTCTGTGGGTTGGGGCACTAATTAGAAAAGGTTGCCTGAACAGAGTGTGTTTTGCTAAGTTCAGTGTTGAGGGCTTACTGAGGAAGATGCTGTTTAGAATCTTAGCTTGAGGTAGAGACACTCATGATTCCAGTATCCCTGCATCAAGAGGAAATGTACACTCTGAATAGTTGGAGGCCTTGTTGTACCAAGGTCTGAGGGAGCTAGGTGTAAATAGGGGAACCTGGACAGTCTTATCCGTTACACCATGTAGGCCCTTCTTGTGTACTTAGCTTTCTGGTACCTATCATCAGAGTTAACAAATCTAGGATAGACTAGATGATATTGATATTGATACCAAATGTCCGTTGGTATCCAGATGGCCCCCTGCCCAACTCACAAGAATCAGTGAACAGGTTTCTAAAAGGCATGATCCCAAAAGGGCAATGTGTTCTCTGCTAAAAAGATTGAAGCTGAAGCCGGGCATTAGTGGGCACGTCTTTAATCCCAGCACTCAGGAGGCAGAGGCAGGCGGATCTCTTGTGAGTTCGAGGCCAGCCCGCTCTCCAGAGCGAGTGCCAGGATAGGCTCCAAAGCTACACAGAGAAACCCTGTCTTGAAAAACAACAAAACAAAAGATTGAAGCTGAGCTGGGTGTTTGGTGGGCACTCGCCTTGAATCCCAGCACTAGGGAGGCAGAGGCAGGCGGATCTCTGTGAGTTCAAGGCCAGCCTGGTCTACAGAGCGAGTGCCAGGATAGGCTCCAAAGCTATACAGAGAAACTCTGTCTCAAAAAACCAAAAAGGAAAAAAGATTGAAGCTGATGGAGTGCTAAAAAACCTAATGTGGCTGTGTTTTTACTAGTGACCATAAGGGGGTGGTAGTCAGACTTTTGGCATCCCACGAACCCTGGCCTAGGACCAGAGCAGCTGGCTGAAAGCTGCTTTCTGGACTCCCCAGCTGTGATACTCTTCCTGAATCTGGCCTCTTGTGTTGACTGGAATCGGGGTCCTAGGGCTCGGACCTCCAAGATTGAGCCTTGGTGAAGGGAAGCACGCCCTCTTTGAGCCAGTTCTAACCAAGTCTAACCCTGTAGCCCCCTGCCTTCTGATGGCACTTTTGGCAGTCCATATTTCCTGGTATTTCCTTCCAGCTCTGCCCAAGAGCTGCCCTGTGGCTCACCCCACACTTCCTTTTAGAGGAGAAATGAGGTTTTGATTCTGCTGTCTGGAGCTAAGCTTTCAGATTTCAACAGAGGCCTGTAAGGCAGGAGGCCCAGGTGGTTCAGCTACCATGCTAGCTTCCACTCGGTGTGTCAGCTAGAAAAGAAGAGGCCCTGGGCTACTTTACCTCCTACAGAATAATGGCTTTTTGGTTTTGGGGTTTGTTTTGGTGTGTGTGTGTGTGTGTGTGTGTGTGTGTGTTCTGAGAAGACAGGGTCTCTATGTACTTGTGGACATGCCAGGCTGGCTTCAAATTCACAGAGATCCGCCTGACTCTGCCTCCTGAGTACTGGGAATAAAGCCCTGCACCACCATGCTTGGCCCAAGGGCAGTGGTTCTTAACATTGCCTGAATCATATCTGGAGTCATTTTTAGTTGTTAGGATGGAAATTAGAGGTAACAGATATTGCTGGGTTCCTACAAGACAGGAATACAGGACCACACAATTCACAGTTCCACACGTAGAATCAGTGCTGGGGATGAGATTCTCATTGCCAATGTCATCTATCCTGGTGGGTCAATGTTTGAATCAGTTCTGTCTAATCTCCACCAGGCCTATGGCTTAGAAGACTATGCCCAGTCAGGACCTCAATTTTGAGGGTTATATTTTTGTCTTTGCAGCTCCTCCCAGGCCACAAGTGGCTATCCATTCTTTCCTATAGGGCCTCCACCCTGCCTTCCACCTTGTGGGATGCATAGCCCCTTTTTGGTATCTCCCCATTCTGGGAAGACTCTATGAAGGGAGGCCTGTGATTTGGTTCTGCTCCCAATTGATCAACCAGGCCCCTCCTTTCATAGACAGGGTTTAGATTCCAGCCACGCCAGGGCTGCTAAGAGTAGTCTTCAACCCATGATGTGTATCCCATCTTTTGTACCAAGTCTAAAAGCTAATAGCTATCTCAATGTGTCCTTCTGTGAGCTTATCCCAACCACATGCCAGCACAACCAGCATATTTGAGTACCTAGTGTGTCTCCTAACCAGTAAATATGCAGGGTGTCCACATAAATGAATTCTTAGTGCTGCTGAGGAACTCTGGTCAGGGCACTGCCAATTCAGAAGCTCCTGTGTGGGATACAGTATGGCTCTTTGAAGCAAGCCTGACTTTCCAATGGGTTTTACTTCCCACTGTCATGGAAGTATGTGGCTGGCAAAGACAGTATGTTTTTTCTCCAACTCACTGAGATCTGCCTGCTCCTGCCTCCCTCATTGCTGGGATTAAAGGTGTGTACCACCACCTGTACCATCACTGCCTGGCTCCCTGTTGGACTCTAAACTCTAGGGCTCTGATCTCGCTGGATTGGAAGGAATAGCTCTTTGCATCTGTCTGATAGAGGCTTGGTCACCAAAGCAGGGACATTCTCTACCTTTTAATGTTATGCAGCCTAATCAAGTGTTCATATTGACTCTGCAGTTCATACTAATACAAAGGACTCTGTGGTACAGACCCTAGTGGCCATACTCTTGGGGAGTCTTAGAATTCTATTCACCATGAGAATTTAATAGGGACCATTTCCTCCATTTTCTTCTCTGTCCACGGCAGCTCTAAGAGTATTTTTGTGTGCCATCAGGCCAACCTATACTTGTTGCATTTATTTATTTATTTATTTATAACGATTTTATTTATTTATTATGTATACAACATTCTGCTTCCATGTATATCTGCACACCAGAAGAGGGCACCAGATCTCATAAAGGATGGTTGTGAGCCACCATGTGGTTGCTGGGAATTGAACTCAGGACCTCTGGAAGAGCAGCCAGTTGCTCTTAACCACTGAGCCATCTCTCCAGCCCTGTTGCATTTATTTTAAGACAGGTTCTTACTGATGGTGATCCTCCTGCCTCAGCCTCTTGAATGCTGTGGCAACAGGCATGTGCCACCATGCCCATTGCACTTCTGTCATTTAGAAATGATCCTAAGGGATTAGAGAGATGGCCTAGTGGTTAAGAGCACTTGTTGCTCTTACAGAAGACCCAGGTTTGATTCCCAGCACCTAAAGGCTGTGTAGCTCCAGTTCCAGAGAATCTGATGCCCTCTTCTGGCCTCTGAGTGCACTGCAGGTAGTATACAGCCATATACATGTGAGACACCCCCACAAACAAAATTACATGTAAACACTTTTTTAAATGATCATAAGCCGGGTGTAGTGGTGCACCCTTTTAATCCTAGCACTTGGTATGCAGAGGCAGGTGGCTTTGTAGGTTGGAGTACAGTCTGGTCTATGTTGTTCCACAAGAGCCAGGACTATGTAGAGAGACCTTGTCTCAAAATAATAATAATAATAATAATAATAATAATAATAGATCATATAAGGTAAGTATGCTGGTCTACCAACAGGGCAAGGACTGGTGCATTCATCTAGTTTAGCACTGGATCTTGAGTGCTTGGTAGACAGCTGGTGTTCAGTAGGTCCTGGATGAATGAAGACCAATGTGGGTCTTTATGGATGCGTAACAATGGATGTATAAGCAATTCTCCGTTTGTGCCTGGGTCTGGTCTAAATATATTCCCTGGGACCATAAGAAGCCTGTGGTGGGGGAGTTGGGCCTGACTGACTCTCTGGTTATGTGGTTTTTTTCTTCCCAATGATCCTGTCTGCCTGGAATGTCCGAGTCACCAGGAATAGGAGCCAACATCAGATTCTTAGTCTTTGTGCTTAGTGGGTTGGCTGATACCCCTTGTCTGGCCACACCCCTAAAAGAAGGGGAGATAGGTCTAAGGCTATGGGTTGGCTGAAGCTTGGCCAAAGTACCATGTGGTCAGTGGTTTTACCCTCGTCTGTTCTTTTCCTAGAGGGACAACAATTCTAGGTGGGGCTGGGGAGCAAGGGGCAGGGAGCTGGGGGCTCCACAGAAGGAGCTGGAGTGGCTCAGGCCCTTGACTGTGGGAGGGGCAGGTGGCTTGGTTAGCAGCCCGGGCTGCCTGCTTGGCTCCAGTTCTTGTCTGTGGCTATTTCCTGCTTAAGGATGTGGTGGTGGGGGCTGGAGGAGGGCAAACAGACCTCTGCTGTCCATCTTGACTCCTCTGGCCTAAAGTAGAGGACAGGATGAGGGGAAGAAAGCATTGGCTAAGGCTCATCTGTTCCCATGTATGTCTTTGGGGGTTAAAACTACCATAGATATCAGCATCTGGCCTGTGACCTGGAAGTAAGTTACTGGGATTTGCAGTTTGAGAGTTCCCCAAACCTCAAGTGGAGACCCGAAGCCAGGGAGTCTGTAAAGGGAAGACCTAAGCAGAGACTCCTGCTAGTGCACTCTTCCTCCGTCCTCTATCTGGGACCATGTCATTGCTCATATTTAGGATCAGGCATAATCTACCTCTGTGTCCTTCCATCACTTCCTGAACACTCTCCCTCCATGGAGAAAAACAGGATAAAGGACAGCCTGGGACAACCATGGGAGAGTGGAGAGAAGAGGCAGATATAGGAGAGTGTAGGGTAGAGACAGACGCTGTGGCAAGTAAGGCATCAACAACACTTAAAAAGCAGAAAGGAAGGCCAGAACAGGAGGACTGGGGGATGGCCTGCTGGGTGGGACTTGTTTTTCTAGAATAAAAGGCCCAGGCAAGAGCTGGGGGCCAAGTTCATGCTCTGCCTGGCCCAGATCCTGGATGGCTGGCTCCCTTAGAGGTCCTGAGAGATTTCCTATAGCCTCACAATTCCCTGTTTCCCCCTCCCTCCAAGAGCCAGCTAGGCTGAGATTCTGGCTTTGTCTAAGGACTTGAGGACCCGCCCCAACAGCCCCCAGGGATAGGGCCTGTACCTATTACTATCCAAATAAGTGGCCTAGACTGCTTAAGGGCTTCGGAGGGTTTTTTTTTTTTTTTTTGGATTATTTTCCTTTCTTGTTCTGAGGTTTGCTTAACTAGCAGGAGTGGGCTGGTACACAGTGCTGCTCTGTTATTTACCATTTGTTTATATGACTTTGTTTTCCCAGGGCTTCAAATTTGTACTTTCTGTTGGGAGAATTCCACTCCCCTTTCCTCCAACTGCATGTTTCCCAGATCATAGTAATCCAGTCCTAGTTTCAGGACTCTGGATTTCCTTTTGAATGTGGACAGCCCCAGTCATGAGGCCATGAGGAAAGTCTGACCACACTCATACTCTGTCCTCAGTGTTAAAGGTCCTACCACTCACCTCCTAGGTTCACTGTTCTTTGTTTGTTTGAGACAGAATCTCACCATGTGTAGCCATGACTGCTCTGGACATCACTATGAAGGCCGAGTTGGCTTCACATCCATAGAGATCCACCTGCCTCTGCCTCCATAAGTGCTAGAACTAAAGGTGTGGGCCATTCTGCCTGCCTGGATGATTGGCTGTTCTTGTTCCTAAAGATACTGCAATTGTGTTGTCCCCAGGTAGCCCACCATGGTCCTAGAGAAGGGCATAGTAAAATTAACACTCATCTAAATTGGAACTGGAAGAGCCATGTGATCTGGCAGGGAGAATACAAGAATGGAAAAAGCAGCCCAGGTGCTCTGGCCTGGCTGATCACTTGGGAGAATGTCAAAGCAGGGGATGCCGATCATTCAACCTCAAATACCAGTTCTTCTGCAGCTCAGAAAGTTTACAGATGCTTGGCGCAGGAATCCTCACATCCAGGCCTCTTCATCTGTCCTAGGACTGAGCTACTGCCCCTCCCCAGGACTGACCAGTGACTGGCCGAGCATCTACTCAGACCCTCCCACCTTCTGGGCCTGGACAGAAACACTACAGGCCAGCCAAGGATGGGGGAGGCCAAGCAATAGAGCAGTTCAGTAGGCGGGGCACAGACCCTGCCCACAGCTCCGTGATGTCAGCGGGTGCTGGCAGGGAGAGGGGGTCGGCCGCGGCTGTTTTTCTGGAAAGTTAGAGCTGAGTAAGACAAAGCCCAGCGCGGTCCCTGCAGACGCCATGGAACTGCTGTCCTGTGTCTTGCTGTGGAAACTGATGCTTCTTCAGAGTGAGTAGGAGACAGTGGGGTTGGGTGTGGGTCAGTGAGTGGATGAACTGTCTGTGTTTAGGCTGGGAGGGGAAGGGAGCACAGGCTGGGAGGGGAAGGGAGCACAGGCTGGGAGAGGAAGGGAGCACTCATCAAAGAAAAGGACTGGGCCAGGTGCCTCAAAACAACTATTCACCTTCTATCCATGAAGCTTTCAGGTACTCTAACAGAAACCCCAGAGGGCCGAAATAGGGAGGATGTAGCCAAGGGTGCCTCCTGTGTAACTCCAGGGTCAGCTGCTTAGGGTGCAGTCCTCCCAGACGTGGGGAGGAGAGTCAGTGTGGCTGACAACTAAGGGGCTAATAGAGTCTGTTCCAACCCCTTCTTCAGGCCCCCAGGCTTTCCCACTCTGGCCTGCTGACAAGGCACATTTTTCTTGGAAGCCTGGAACCTAAACCACTTCTCTACAGCACTGTCTTGGACCAGTGATGGCAGATCAGGACTTATTCCCCATGAAACCTGTTGGGACTGTAGCAGAGGTCCACACTGCACCTAGGATAGGGTGTAGGACAGAGCTATGAATGCCTGAGGTCTGGAGGTTCCTAAAGGTTCAGCACAGATGCATATACTACTGCTGGTTGCCTCAGTGTCATGCTAGAGCAGTTCGGAAGGACTTGTTGCTATGATGTGACAATGGCTACTTCAAGCTCACATTTCGAAAGAAGTCTGCAAAGAATCACATTCTTCTCTACTACACAGCTAGATTTCCTGTTTCCCTCTTACCAGAGTTATCTATATAGCCAGGAAGGTGACACTAATGGTGTTAACCTGCAGCTTCCCTACCAGAACTAGTTTAGTGGGCATCATGACTGCAGGAGGTCCCAAATGGTCTTCCAGCTGGTGGGTCCTGGGATACAAAGGTGAAAAATGCCTACAACTCTATTTCTCCTCTCCTTACAGGTCCCGCACTCATTCTGTCCTCAGGTCAGTATCTCCTACCTAGCTGTGGGCAGGGCCCCTTTAGGGTCGACTTCTCTCCTAACCCATCTTGACTTTTGCCGCTGACTCCCCCTTCCCGACAAGGGTCAGTGTCTGAGTCCGTGGTGAAATGGCAAGCCGGAACCCAGGCGGTGCTGAGATGCCAGAGCCCGCGCATGGTGTGGACCCAAGACCGGCTGCATGACCGCCAGCGCGTGGTCCACTGGGACCTCAGCGGTGTCCCCGGCAGCCAAGGGCGCCGACTCGTGGATATGTACTCGGCGGGCGAAGAGCGCGTGTACGAGCCGCGCGACCACGGCCGCCTCCTGCTGTCGCCATCTGCCTTCCACGACGGCAACTTCTCACTGCTCATCCGCGGTACGCTGTGGAACCGTGGTGGGGCTGAAACTTTGGCAGATGTTGAAACTTTGGCAGGGGGCGGATACATACCTTTGACTAGGCGAGGCCTCCATAAGGGTGGAGTCTTGGAGGGGCGGGGCCATGGAGGGGACAGAATCGTTTTAGGGGAGGGGCCATGAAGGAGGATGGGCCCCACATGCTGAGGTTGTCTTCTGCTAAGTAGCGGTGGAGGAAGGTGACGAAGGGGTATACACCTGCAACTTGCACCACCACTACTGTCACCTCTACGAGAGCCTGGCGGTGCGCCTCAAGGTCACCGACGATCGTGAGTGTGCCCCTCACTCTCCTTTGCTACTTCTATCCCTGCCCCAGCCCGTCTTCCCCTTCCTCACATCTGCCGGCCAGTGAGTGATCTGGCTGCCTCTCAAATGCATCCGCAGCCCAGTTAGCTCGAGCGTACTGGGACGGCAAGACGGAAGTGATGGTGGTGGCCCGCGGCATGCCGGCCCTGATGACTTGTGTGAACCGTGAGCACTTGTGGACTGACCGCCACTTAGAGGAGGCGCAGCAGGTGGTCCATTGGGACCGACAGCTACCTGGGGTACCACACGACCGCGCTGACCGCCTACTTGATTTGTACGCATCTGGTGAACGCCGTGCCTACGGGCCATCCTTCCTGCGAGATCGCGTGGCAGTGAAAGCCGATGCTTTTGCACGCGGCGACTTTTCCCTACGCATAGATGCCCTGGAGCCGGCTGATGAAGGCATCTATTCCTGCCACCTGCACCACCACTACTGCGGCCTGCACGAGCGCCGGGTCTTCCACCTACAGGTCATCGAACCCACCTTTGAGCCACCTGCTCCTGCCTCTCCCGGTAATGGGTCAGGCCACAACAGCGCTCCTGGCCCAGGTGTGTGTGCAGCCTGCCAGCCCCCAGAAGGGGCCCTGGTGTGACCTAGGGTGCTGGGGGCTTCCTTCTTTCCTTCCTTCCCTCTCTTCCCTCTCTCCCTCCCTCCCTCCCTCCCTCCCACCCTCCTGCCCCTCCCTCCCTCCTGCCCTCCCACCCTCTCACTCTCTCTTCTTTGAGACAGGGTTTCCTTGTGTAACCTCAGCTGTCCTGGAACTAGCTTTGTAGACAAGGCTGGCCCCTGTCTCCTGAGTGCTGGAGTGCGGGGATTAAAGGCATGTGCCACCACACCTGGCTTGTGAGGGTTTCTTTTTTTTGTTTTTCGAGACAGGGTTTCTCTGTAGCTTTGGAGGCTGTCTTGGAATTAGCTCTTGTAGACCAGGCTGGTCTCGAACTCACAAAGATCCACCTGCCTCTGCCTCCCGAGTGCTGGGATTAAAGGCGTATGCCACCAACGCCCGGCGAGGGTTTCTGATGTTTGCTACTTACCTGTAGATCCCACACTGGTAAGTAGATCCCGAGGCCACAGCGTCATCAACGTCATTGTCCCAGAGAGCCACGCACATTTCTTCCAGCAACTGGGTTATGTGTTGGCCACGCTGCTGCTCTTCATCTTGCTGCTCATCACTGTAGTCTTGGCTACACGCCATCGTGGAGGTGAGATAGGACCCTTGGAACAGAAGGTCCTGGATTAACAGAGGACAGTGAAACTGACCTAATACTCCTCTTTTCACAGGATGCGAGGCCTCTGACAAAAAAGCTGGGAAATCAAAGGGGTGAGTTTGTCTGTTCAACCTTCCTCCCAGACCTGCCCTGCCCTGGCCTCCTAAACTGCCATCTCCCTTTAGGAAAGATGTGAACATGATGGAGTTTGCTGTGGCCACAAGGGACCAGGCTCCTTATAGGACTGAGGACATCCAGCTAGGTAGGAATGAGGGCCACAAGGGTCCAGAGGAAGTGCATTTTTTGGGTGGGACTTACTCTTTTCTTCTAACCAGATTACAAAAACAACATCCTGAAGGAGAGGGCTGAGCTGAACCACAGTCCTCTTCCTGCCAAGAATGTGGATCTGGATAAAGGTGAGCAGTGGAGGGAGACCCCATCACCCATCCCTTCATCCCACAAGTGACTTTGTGAGCTCACAGGACCCTGTGGATAGGAGACTCCTGCCATCTTTTCTGAGAAGGGCTTGGGAAGTCATGCCAAATGTCTTCCCTGACTTTTCCACTGGGACTAAGGGACAGAGAGTAGACATTAGCCATTTTCTTGGCTTCCAGAGTTCAGGAAGGAGTACTGCAAATAAATGGATTCTGAGCTTCTGGCTGGGCCAGCAGCTCTGTGTCAAAGAATGTCTTCCTGACCCTCCTGTGGCACTCTGGCTTCTTCTCAGCGGCTGGTCCCGCTTGGCCTGAACTTGGCAGAGCAGCTGCCTGCACTTTGTTCTTCCAAGAATCACCCTCATCTTGGTGAGCAACTGTGGGTTCCCTAGGGATTCTGGCATAGTATGGTTGCTGCCCTTCAATCACCTGTACCCACTGGTGGCCATACCTCCAACTTTGACACAACAGACATAGATCCCTTGTTAATGTACACCAAATGCACAGTCTCTCGTGGATTCTTCCTGCTAGGGTCAAGAAGACACTTAAAGGTAGTCCAGTTAAGACTGCTACTCACAAGTTCAACATATTAGCCGTCTTGGGAAGCCCCCAGGGTCTTCCTGAACTGCACCATGTTTATGCATTGCACAGGGCCCTGTGGTCATATGTTCTGACTCATGGGCTGGCCCTCCTTACTGCTTTGGGCCACTTGGAGCTGGCCTGTTGCCCATTTTCTGCTTCTGATCCCTTTTTGCTGAACGCCTTCCAAGAGTTACACCAGCAGTTACTGGGCACAATGTCACTCTTGGCCTTGACACCTCTCCCTTTGCTGGAGTCTGGGATTGGGGCTCCATTTGTCCTCCATTTTGGCTGAAGATGGGGGAAGAGAGTTCTGAGTGGCCTGTGCTGCCACATCAAACAGCTCCTACTGGGAGAATTTTCATGTCATAATAAAAAAACACATCTGATTTTTAGTCTTGGCCCTGCTGTTCCCCTTCTGTTCATAGAGGACATATCTGGGCCTTGGGAACCCCCCAGGTGCTCTCATAACCTTCATTTGAGTTCCACTGCCCTTCCCTATTCCCTTAAGTGGAAGGTCTATGTCACTATTTTCCACTTTCAGTCCCTTTTCCAAGTATGTGTGTGGACAGGAAGGAGGTGGGGGCGGGAGCGTAAAATGGCAGAGGGGAGATAGGACATAGACGGAAATGGTGTTGGCTCAGTTCTTTGTGAAGCAGATGCCAAAGTGGAGTAAAAAGAGGAAGCAAAGATAGGCAGGCAGGCTCCCCAAAGATATAGGTCTAAGGAGATTTGGGCAGAAAGAGCCTCCAAGAGGCAGGGGTTGGCCAACAGGATCAGGTATTGGTTTTCAAGTACTAGTCTCCTAGGGCTAGTCATACTGGGCATTGGCTATGGGACTTCAGCAGACTCAGAGGTGAAAAAGCAGCTAAGAGAGGTCTCAGACTTCTTTTCTCACTCACCCTCTTTTTTATTTTTTATTTATTTATTTTTTGGTTTTTCGAGACAGGGTTTCTCTGTAGCTTTGGAGGCTGTCCTGGAACTAGCTCTTGTAGACCAGGCTGGTCTCGAACTCACAGAGATCTTCCTGCCTCTGCCTCCCGAGTGCTGGGATTAAAGGCGTGCACCACCAACGCCCGGCTACTCACCCTCTTTTTAAAATAAAGATTTATTTATCATGTATGCAGTGTTCCGCTTGCATGTATGCCTGCCTGCCAGAAGAGGGCACCAGATCTCATTATAGATGGTTGTGAGCCACCATGTGGTTGCTGGGAATTGAACTCAGGACCTTTGGAAGAGCAGCTTGTGCTCTTAACCTCTGAGCCATCTCTTTAACCCTCCCCCCCTTTTAAAAAATTTAAAAATTTGGAGCTGAAGAGATGACTCAGCAGTTAGGAGAACTGACTGCTCTTCCAGAGGACCCCGGTTCAATTCCCAGCACCCACATGGCAGCTCACAACTTTCTATAACTCCAGTTCCAGGGTACCCAAAACCCTCACACAGACATACATGCAGACAATACACCAATGCACGTAAAATACATAAAGTGATAAATTAAAAAATTAAATATATATATATTCATTCACACATACATTTCATGTTTATAGGTGTTTTTGCCTACATACATATCTGTCTACCACATGTGTGTAGTGCTCATGGAAGCCCGGATGCTTATTTGTTTATTTTGACACAAGTTCTAACCATATAGCCTGGTATGGAACTCACAGAGATCTACCTGCCTCTGCTTCTCTAGTGCAGGGATTGGTTTAAAGGCACACCCTGCTTTATTTTTTTCTCATTTATGTTGTATGAATGTTTGTAGATAAATGAATGGTATGAATGTGGAGGTCGGAGGATAGCTTGCAGGATCTATTCCCTTCTTTCTCAGGTGACTTTCAGCCTGCACTATGGGGATCCTGGGGTTCAAACTCAGTCATCAGACTTGGCATCAGGCACTTTCAATAACTGGAACATCTGTTTTTTTGGTTTTTCGTGACAGGGTTTCTCTGTGTAGCTTTTTTTAAAATTATTTTTTGTTTCTTTATTTTTTTGTAATTAATTGTTTTTTAGTTCAAATTAGGAACAAGCTTGCTTCACATGTCAATCCCTTCTCCCTCCCCTCCCCCTCAGTCCTCCCCCCAACTCCCCACCTCTCTGTGTAGCTTTGGAGCCTATCCTGGCACTCGCTCTGGAGACCAGGCTGGCCTCAAACTAGCTGGAACATCTTATTGGTCCTGTTTCTTCACTCCTGCCCCCTCCAATGCTCTCAGAAAGTGTGGCAATCACCCACAGGAGCCTCAGTGACATGCTGCGGGTTAGTTTGAAGATGTACCTCTCACACTAGTGGCCTCTGGCCCCAGCCGTGGTCACACTGCTACCAGACAAGGCCACTCCTAGAAAGGCACAAGTTCTAGCCTCAGATCTACCTCTTCTATAGTGATCCAACCTGCCTCTGTCAGCATCAGCACCATGGCCTCTGGCTTCTAGCTCCTCCTATTTGGGGTGTCAGGTGGGCTATGGGGACCCTTGAATATGAGTGATCAGTAGCATCTTTTTTTTTTTTTTTTTAAAGATTTTATTTATTTATTATGTCTTCTGCCTGCAGGCCAGCAGAGGGCACCATATCTGATTTAAGGTGTTTTGGAGCCACCATGTGGTTGCTGGGAATTGAACTCAGGACCTCTGGAAGAGCAGTCAGTCCTCTTAACTGCTGAGCCATCTCTCCAGCCCCGCCACCTCTCTTTTTTTTTTTTTAAAGATTTTATTTATTTATTATCTCTTCTGCCTGCAGGCCAGCAGAGGGCACCATATCTGATTTAAGGTGTTTTGGAGCCACCATGTGGTTGCTGGGCATTGAACTCGGGACCTCTGAAAGCGCAGCCACTGCTCTTAACCTCTGAGCCATCTCTCCAGCTCCTGATCAGTAGGATCTTATGTCTGACCCGAGGAACACTCAGAAAACAGCTTGTTTTCCTTCTCCCTTGAGCAGACTCTCTGAAGTCATCTTGCCTAGCTGCTTCGGGTTACTTCTGTAGAGATCCAAGGAAGAGGACCAGATGTTGGCAAAGGGAGTATGGGTTCCCAGGATAGCAGGCCCCTGTTGGGAGTAAGGAATTAAAGGGAAGAACTCTGCTTAGGCTGACTTCAGTGGCCTTTAATATAAATTCAGTGCTAACTTCTAGGTCCTTCAGAACAGTGGTGCGACGGTCTTTCCTTGTGCAGGCGTAGTGTCTGGCGTTGGTCCCAGATCACAATAGGCACCCTTGTCTCCATCACTGGCCAGTATCCTATGCATTACCCCACTCTTTTTTTTTTTCGAGACAGGGTTTATCTGTGGCTTTGGAGGCTGTCCTGCTACTAGCTCTTGTAGCCCAGGCTGGTCTCGAACTCACAGAGATCCACCTGCCTCTGCCTCCCGAGTGCTGGGATTAAAGGCGTGCGCCACCAACACCCGGCTACCCCACTCTTATTAATGGCCAACGAAGGGCCTTAGGCCATCCTGGAGTAGGGGAGGCCTTCAGCTTAGCAAGGCAATAAGTGGGTCAAATCTCAGGTTGAGGTGCATCCCGGTCTTCCTTGGCCTGGGGAAGACACCTGGCTATTTTGATTACAACGTCCAAGGCAAAAATCCCTTTGGCTTCAGTCGCAGCCCGGGCCTCGCCTGGACATCTGTGCACACACCTGGACCTGCGTCACTAGTCACTCCTTTGAGTTTCTTCGGGGATCCGATGGGACAAGGCAGTGTGCGTAAGAACTGAGCTCAGGAATAGCGTGAGGCGCAGTAAGGCTCTCGCTGTCTTGGGTTAGACATAGGTATCTTCAAATTCTTGTGGAGCGCCTGAAGCCCCCAGAGTAGCGAGCGCCTTCTGATTGTCAGCACTGTGGGAACTGGGTGGGATAACTGGACAGGCCTAGCCCGACGACGCTCCTCAGCTCTCTGGCAGATAATATTGGCTCACAAGGCACAACCTTTTCTGGGTCTCTGCTATTCTGGGGCCGAGCGTGCCCATTTGCCCACAAACCGCAGACCCAGACGCCGCACGAATTCCTGCCTATCGGGAATCGGGGCGAGCGCATTGTACAGCTTTTGGCTCCTGGCTAGGGGAACTCAAAGCCCCGCCCCACGCTACCGCACGGAGTGACCTAACCAGTTAGGCTTCCC